GGGGGTTGCTGATAAGAGGCTGTTAAAATTTATCGCACCGTATGAAGGACATGTTGCAAAGCTGTCTTCAAGTCATTTTTTGGGTCATTTAAATAGGTCATGTTTATATTAGACAGCAAAAATTCATTTTGACTTTCAACTCTTCTACTTAAAAGCACATTTCAGCTTGTATCATTTTGCTTGCATAAAGACGTTGAAACAGTACCCCTACTTTTACCAGAGTCCATTTTCTGCGCTTTTATTTACATAAGTAAATACCGTGAGAACATTTGTCACCTGATGATGGCTGCCACAATGAGTCAGCAGGTAGCATGCAGTGATTGTTATTTGACAGCAATCTGGCAGGCAGGTAGAGAAAGATGACTACATTTGGGATTTTACACATACTTCTGTCACAATTGCCTTTCCTTTCTGCCTGTGTCAGAAAGGAAAGTTGAAGGCATTTGCAACTTTATTTGCAATTATGAGGGTGGTTATAAATAATATTCCTGGTCTGTTTTCAAATCCACCAGTGTCAACCACACACGGTACTCATTATAAATCCTTGCTAAGTAAACTTTTCACTTCTCAGTGAACACATAAACAACTCCCAGAGGTTTGATGATGATCCATGGTTTAATTCTTTGTATTTTCAAAATACCATTTTACTGTCTGCATGTCGGCCTGTGATCAGATCATCACCAAGCTTAAGAAGCTGGATGATAATCCTTATTATTCGATCAGGTGTGCGGAAGCAGGGAGACATACAAAACATCCGGGAAACCGGCCCTTGAGAACCGGAATTGCTCACCCGTGGTGATCGGCCTAGTGTGGAAAAGCATTCTACTTCCAGCACATTTTATCAAATCTCTTGGAATTGAAGGGCTAACCACTACAGGGAAAAAAAAAAAGATTTCATGATTTAATCAGAGTGGTGAGCCAGTATTAGTAAGACTATTTGTGGGTGTCCCGATGCCAGTTGATGTTACTCGTCAATGGGAAAATTGTCAACACGCTCTATAAATGTCCTTACAGAACTTTTTTTCTTCAACCAAAAGGGTATTCAGTCAAATAAATACACAAAGACCAATATAAGGCCGAACTTGAGCATTTTTCCTCTATTGTGTTGCAAGTCAGTAAAATATTTCTATATACTGTACATACAGTAAGTAGCAGTATATAAGTAAAAATGCATTTTTATTGTCAATTACACAATCCAACACTAGTTTTTGATAACTTGGTTCAATGAAACAAAAACTTTCCTTCACAAAAGGTTCTCTTTTTGTTCTTTTATTACCTTTCATCGTGCTCACACATATTGCATGTTGTTAAGCGCGAGCCTGAGCTCAACTATCAAAACAATGTTGCATTGTAAAATCACTGTATATTCAACTGAAATCGAAAGAGTACATGAGAACACATTTCTTGGAGTGATCATTGATGCCAAGCTGAAAGACAAAACGTAAAACCCAAAATGTTGAAAGCTAGAGTTATCCTTTGTAAAACTAAAGATGTCCTGAATAACAATTATATACAATTTATAGCTCGCTATCACCGGGACTACCATGTAGGCTATCACTTATGGCAGGGGTGCCCAAACTTTTTGGACCGAAGATCGACTTTTCAATCAACCAACTTCCCGCGATCGACCCATTACCGCGCACGCGCGCGCACATACACACGCATGCCATGATGAGCAACAGCCTGACACGGAGGCATGTGACGCACTTTTGCAGCCTGTTAACAATCGTAGCTCACGTGTACCATTTTAAAGTGCTTCCCTCAGCCCTCGAGATTCCTATTCTTTGCCCGTGCCCTCGGTGAATTGTACAGGAAACAAACTCTGAATGAGAATAATGATAATGATAAAAGATATAGCGCAAAAGCTCTGATCACAAGCTGCAATTGCAGACTGCTGAGCGCTAACAACTTCCGGTGACGCAGGTCACATGCCACCGTAGGTTAAAGATTTACCTGTTTTATTTTATTTATTTTTTTAAAATACTTTTCGTGAAAATGAGACTGATAGGATGATTAGGGTGCAGTGTACATTAACACAGAAAATATATTACTAACATGAACAAAGACACACAAATGGTTGTTTTTTTTCTCCTCTACCCCTCTAGCGATTGACTTGGGACCAGTCCGCGATCTACCGGTCGATGGCGATCGACGAAATGAGCACCCCTGACTTATGGTGTTGAGATATGACGCAAAATAAATAAAACAACTAACCCTCTTTCTAAATGACAGCCAAATGTATAGAAACTAATCCATAATTTATTCATTGAAATACTCTGAAATTCTAGGACTTAGTCGAATTCAATCTGCGTAAATAATGTCCAAAATACGTAATTTATTTTGTCACAGTATTCATAAGATGTTTGAAAACAGAGAGACTGCTGGCCACTCGTGTCCGAAAAAGAAACACAAGACAAGGATCAACATAATGTGAAGATGTGTCACTGTAGGAGGTGTAAATTTGTGGAATAATTATGAACACGTGGGGTTCAATGACATCTGTTAAAAGAATGTTAAAACGTTAAGTACTGAATAATTAAATGAAGCAAGCATAAAAGAAAGTGTATATATTGCACATTTTATTTGCTGGCCTGACTGTGTGGACTGAGTTGTAACAATTTTTTTTTTTTCAAAAGTGTTTTTGTTTTCTTTTCATTTCTTATTTTCACTCTATAAATTGATGACATTTGTGCGGGAGCTTGATTGTCTTAGATGTTTTCTATTTAAAAAAATGTAGGCTTAACAAGACCTCCTCTCCCTACACCTTGTCGTTTGGCTGTTTTCCCGTGCAATTCTAGAATTACAGTTTTTACTTAAATCAATCAAATAAAAATCAATCAATCAGGAACAGCCACAGCTGTGATAAAGTTGCAAACCGGTTTAACCATAAATAAAAACACGTCATTAGCTAATACAACTGAGACAATTGAGATATTTTTACTTTTAGCAACTAAGACAGAGAATTTCTTCATGCCAGAAATTGCAGTTTTTCGGCTGGCACCAGACACATTTGCCACAAATTGTTCCTGTAGCTGAGAACGAACGATGGCCTTAACTGAATAAGGCAATGCATGCCGATTGTCTCGTTTCTTTGAATGTATTACAACTTTGTTGTCATCTAACATGAGAGTATTTGTACATGGTTCCTTCCGACCACCGGTTTTATTTAGAGTGTCATGTGCTGCTTTGGTCACATCAAGTACACCCAATAAAAGTAGCAGCACTTATTTGGCGATTTTTTTTCCTCATCATGTATGGCGTCTCTCAAGTTAAAAAATGTGTTCAGTGAAAAGTTAACTCGCTGAAGTTACCTAAGTGTTATAATGATGATCTAATAATAACAACAATAAGGTGGCTAGGTCAATAAATACATGCACGTTCTTAATAAAACAGTCATTTATTATTGTCTGAAAACTAAAATTGTCTGAACAGCACATTGCAAGGGCATCGTTAAGATTTTTCTCCAAGGCTCAGTGATCACTTCCATACAAGTACACTTGGCATGTACACGGCATCTCCTTCAAATTAAACTCAAGAAAAACAAAGAGCAATGAACCCATTTGTAAAAAACAAAGAAACAAAAAAGTCAAAAAGTCCATCCTGTAGCAAGATAACTCGTTGTACAATCACCAAGTATTTTGGTTTGATTCTAAGCCACGTAGACCGCATCGGAATCACCTGACGGCAGCAGGTGACGCAGAGGAGGCACAACAGACAAGACTGAACACAAACATCCCAATACGTAGATTCTCTCCGATGACGGACTGGGTTCCAGCTTCAAGTTGAGAAATGTTTCATAGTTTCCTTGCGGTCTGTATTTTGGAAACTGTTGTGTACTTTTAAGGGTGTGTTGGAAATCTACAATCAAAATTTAAATGCTGACTTTGTTGAATGCATTCAAATCCGTCATGTAACAAAAAATGGCTCCTTTTCTCACTTCTCCATCACCTTCGCTGAATTTGTTCCCTTTCATCACAACTATAGCCACGGACAGACACAATGACAGAACACAAACCGAGTGCTGGATTAAAAGCATGACTTTAAGAAAGTGGTTTGAGTATAGGGCATGCAGGTCATGCAAAGAGCCAAAACAAATAATAAAAAATAAGGGACAAAGTGTGCATTTAAAAAAAATAAAGGAGTGAGAACAGAAAAAGACTTACACAGCTTTGCGTCTTTGGTTATAAAGTAGGTCCAACAATTTCACAGCTTTTCATCCCCCAACCAAGACCCCAATCTTTTTTTTTTTTTTTTTTTTTTACCCATTTAAACAAAGAACCTCAAAAGAAATAATAGTTTGGCTTTATCAAAACCTCCCAGCACATATTTCATAGCAGGTTCTTTCTTGTACTGTACATACCTTGTTCACTCTGAATACTTTACAAAATATACATTCAACCAGGATTTCAACTCATGTAATTCTGCTTTAGTGTTTCCTTCCTACCGTCTGCTCTACTTACTGACACTTGCTTGATTGTGAGAGACTACCGAAAAGACCTGACAGATTCTAAAAAGACAATACACTTTCTTTGTCTTTTGTGACGTTATGAAAATAGCAGCCCTGAAATAAATAAATGCAAATACTACACGTGAATTAATAATGGAAATGTTACATGTCAAAAGGATGGCGGCTCTGAGCAAACGACAACAACTAAAGTAAGCTTTTTGTTGCGGCCTATAATGAACGAGGCACTCGACTTGCTCCGCTGGACGCCTCTGCTGATGACGACACATCCCTTGGTTGCTTTCGGCCCCCGTGAATGATGTGGCGCGTGGATGCTGACATTGCGGGAGCTTTATTTGCCACTATGGCTTTCCCACGTCTTGCACTGCCCTTTTGGACCACTTGCTGCCACCCCCACCCCTGTGCTCCTGCTCCCTTTGTCCCGCCATCTACTTCAGCCACAATAAGACTTTCCCAAGGGATGACGGCGGTTCTCTTTCGAGATGATGTCACTACTTTCCTTAAATGGAGCACATTTAATGCAACGCTGCGGGGGACGGTATGCGCGTGTCTCTGCTTGAGAGCTGTGTGGAATTGAGCGTGTGGACCGGTGGATGCGCTTGGGTGCGAGCTGGGGGGAGGGGATCACGCCGAGGTGATGTTGGGCTGGTGGGGGACGCTCTGAGCCCCCTCGTGGTGCGCCAAGGGGGCGCCGCTGTTTGTAATGGCTGCGTGTTGCTGCTGCGGGGGCGACGTGCTGCCGTGGCTGGAAAGGTGGTTGAGCTGATCTGAGTTGGCCAACGACTTGAGCACAGCGTTCTCGCGCTCCAGCATGGAGTTGCGCTCATACAGCTCCTTAATTTGCTCCTTCAGCACCTCAACCTCCTCGCGGACAGCGTACATCAGGTGGCTCTTTACCAAATCCTGAAGAGACAAACATCATTGTGATCCTCATCATCATCATCATCATCATTCCTAACACTTATGACGGGTACACACAAAGAATATCGGGCAGTTTTTGTCCCGATTTTGCCCTTCCTCACCAAGGATACCAAATGGTCGCCTACTTTATGTCTTACAATATACAAAAACCTTCATGTGCGTGAGGGAAGCTGACCTACTCTTGAGTTATTTGACACCGTGAACTGTGATCTGAACAAAATGTAGCCGAACAAAGAAGTGCCCTCACTGACGAACAAGGAAGCTGCAGTAAATAGAATAAAATATGTCTTGCTCTATGTCAGTTTTGATATTAAAAAAATTTGTTCCCTGGATGCCAAGAAGTATACACACACAATAAATATGGCAGACAGAGGCATGTGCAGCTAAAATGTAGACAAGTCAGAAAAGCTTCTTCTATTTCATTTTCTCTACTTGAATATTCTTCATTTTCTTTGGCAGTCCGGATGCCTTGCGGCACCATATTGCCTCTCACAGGTCACATTTGGTATTACAATTGACATCTGGTTAGATGCAAGAGACTTGCTACTGTCAGTGGATATATTGTTGTATTATCTAGACTAGCAAGCACACACATGGTGATGTGTTGAAAATCAAAATGTGTGCAACCCGCTTACACTGGGAAAACTCACCATGGCCTGTTCAATCTTGTTGTCAATGGCAACTACGCTGGCACCGGATGCACTGTGGAGAGAAAAAACAAACATGAGAACCATACGTTTTAGCACATAATTTGATACTGCACACATTATACATTTAAGACAACACTTGTGTCACGCATCTCCTGCCGACTAAAGAGTGATGAAGTCATGAATAAGGACATCATTCGTCATGCACAATTACCACTGTTTCTTAACAAATATGAAGATGTAAAAAAAAAATCTGTAATAAAATAAACTAAAATAAAATTAGAAATTAAAATTAGAAAAAAACAAATGCGTGTTCATGGAAACTTTCTATTACTTTTAACAGATGTTTTATCAAGGTCAATTTAGTCTTAAATGAACGTAACATGCATGATTTTGAAAAAAAAAGGAAGAAGCTGAATAATTAAATAATTGAGAATAATTAAAGTTCTACTCAATGGCAGGAGGCAAAATTAAACTGTGTATATGTTTGCCATTCAAAGAACATAAGTCAGAGCTTCCTGTAGTAATCTGTTCAACTAGAGATGCACACACTGGGTTCATTTGTAAGTAAATTCAGAGCATCAACACACACACACACACACACACACACACACACACACACACACGCACGCACG